CAAATGTGTATTGTTGTTTTTTCATGTTGATTTTGTGATGGTTTTCTAATGTATGTTTGTTTGTTTTTGTCATGCAACAGATTGCAGCACTGTGACAAATTTCCCCTTGGGGACAATAAAGTAGATTCTATTCTATTCTAATAATACTGACTGCACATCATGTGTCTCTGCAGGCTGATTCAGAGTGCATTTGTTGACATGGAGAACATGCTGGCACTGTTGATAGAGCAGAAAGAGGTAAGTCACAAAGAGCAATTGTCAGGGGTATAGTTTTTGTCATAGTTTAACTCATATTGGACCACGTACGTTCAAGTACATCTGTGGTTTATCTGAGATTAACTTTAATGCTTAAAAAAACGTAATCTGTGGATGCTGATCAGTAGGGAAAATCTAACAGCCCAACGTAGTTGTGAAGGTTGTTAATTCAATCCCAATTTATTGAAGAAAATACTTTCTCCACCTTGTCAAAAAATTCAACCAAGGTGAGCAAGACACTGCGCCCCTGTTTGCCATAAAGGGTCATCAGCAGAAAGAAGAGTGTTCTTCTTTTTCCTCTCTACAGAGATATTGTCTTTTCAGTTGCCCCCATTCACATCAGGACAGAGGTCAGGACCTGGATTCAGTATCAAGGACACTTAAGTAGAATAAAAGACACAAACTGATAAACACACTCAAAACAAGCTAATAATGTAACATCTTCCAAAAATCTCTTTTTTTTCAAGATGGCAGCAGTTTATCTATCGTTGACTTATGTTGTAATAATGGGAAAATAACTTGTTATAACAATAATTTCACATTTTAATGTGATACTGATCTGTTTTACTTTTTCTGGCGTGGCTGCAATATGCTTCCGTAGAAATCAAATACATAGAGAGGTGTGTGTTTAATAACAATATAAATTAAATATAATATTAACAGATAAGTGGATAATAATTTAACCCTTATTAGGCATTAATTTCTGATCAGCGTCACTGCTTCAGTCCTGCTTGGACACAGAGAAACTCACACAGTTAGAGGTCAGCGGATTAGGAGGTCAACAAGTGTTTGTGTGTGACTTTGTGCGCTTGTGTGTACTTGTGCGCATGCACACACTAAAACACAGCGTCTGCTGTGTATGCCTGTGTGTGTACGTCTGTCTTTTTGTGTGTGTTTCGGTGGGAAAAGGCGTCCTCCGGCTGCTTCGCTAAAGGCTCCTACATTCACAGGCCCTTGATATGGTAAACAGCCACATGAATGTAGACAAAAGCATTAGAGCACCTTAAAAACACAGCAGCCCTTTTCTTTGGCTTGGGAAGCAGCAGGCGAGGGTGGGCGGAGAGGAGGAGGAGGGCGAGGAGGAGGTCAGAAAGTAGGGTGGGATTGCAAAAGCTGATGGTGATAAATCATCAAATTCCTGGTAATATTTTGTAAATGTTAAACACTACATGAAAGTATCAGTTCGTGCATAAAGAGATGAAGATTAAAGGAAGGGAGGAGAAGGCAAGAAGGAAGAATGCAATGAGAGGAGGGAGCAAGTGAGGAAAGGGGAAAATTTAGAACATGATGGGAGGAAGAAGAAAGGGATAAAGGGAGAAAATAAAGGAAGAGAGAATTATGGGATTACCTTTATTGTAATTCTCCCTGAACTTTTTGACCACTTTTTTCCTCTCATCCTCCAATTTTCCTCTCACTCTTATCCTCTCCTCTCCCTTCTTTCTCTCTCTCTATCTCTCTCCACCCTCTCTTTTCCTCCCACCTCCTCTTCTTTTTGTCTCTTACTCTCCAAAAAAATAAAAACCTCACTAGTTTGACAGCTCATTCTTGATCTTGGAAACAACAGTTGACAAAAAGAAAGACTTTTGTGGTCATGGAGTCATGGGACTGCAGATGTTCAAAGTTGATCTTTGTCCAAGACCAGAACTAGTTGGGACCGAATCCAAAGAGGTTTGATTCCAAGACAAGTCTGAGTCCAAATGGGAGAGACAGAGTTTACCACTGCCAATGAGAGGAGTTTGGGCAGCCGAGATGGATTTTGAATTAAACCAACACCCGTTTTCTGAACAAGCACACTTCATCAGTGGTTTTGTTTTGAAGGAGGAAACTTCGGATACTCAGAAAAAAAAACATATATTGCTGGATTCCAAATTAAAATATTTGGCAAGACCAGTGGCCAAGTGTGAGGCAAGTCGAAGTGCAAATCCAAGACAGTCCAAGTCCAGACTCGGGTGCAACAGCAATGTTTAACATCGGGCCATGCAACAACCACTTGTATGAACATATTCGTTCTTAGGTGGCTTGTATGAGAACTTGCGGCATTAACCAGTTTTCGCTTAATTTCAATGTTCACTTAGGGACATAGGTGAGTTGAGATTGATTTGATATTTTTCTGGTATCTAGTAAAAAAAATTAAAAACCACATCTCATCTCTCTTGTGTTCCCTGTCTGTCTTTTCCTCCTCCTCCTCCTCC